CACCCCCGCCGCCGACCCTGTAACCCCCAGCGCGGCTCGCCCTCAGGAGCCCGAGCTCGCTCGCGGGCGGAGCGGGCTGCGGCGCCCGCCGCCCGGCCCTCTGTAGCACCGGCCCAGCACGGTGCCGGCTCGGCCCGCACACGTTTGGTCCGACCTCGGGAGCGCCCGCCGAGGCCCCCATGGCAGACCTGGGCTTCCGGGCCGGGCCGGCGATGCATTCGGCTTCTGTGGCACCACGATGGCCTGAGAAATGTTGCGAGTTCCGATATTCCTCTGAGGAGGCCTTCGGTTTAAACCGTAGCCAACTGAAGAGAAAAGGTAGAGTGAGGTAGCGCGATCACATGTGGGGAAAATGATTGTGGTCTTCATTCATTTTTAAAGAAATTTTCAGAATAATCCATCAGGGAGGATTCTACAGTACCCTTTGGATGACAGTGTAAAAAAAAAAAATCCTGTCCTTTAATGTGCCTGAGACTTCAAAGCCCGTCCCCTTTCTTACAAGTCAGGCCTTGTAATTGCAGGTGACTATGTCATGTCCGTTTTTCTTTTCCTTCTTTGCCTTTCTTTTTTCCTTTTAATTACAAAGATGACACATTCATTAATGAAAATTTGGAAAATACAGAAAAGGAAAGAGGTCTTGCATGGTCCCACCATGAAACTCAATTTCCTCTGTGTAGTCCTCTAAATACTTTTCTTAAATCCCTCACTATCCCTCCTTAAAAAACAAAAATTTATGCTCCATACCCATGAAAATTCAACAGCAATTAAAATGATACAGAAAAACTATGATTTAGTGATTTAGTGCAATCTTTGAGGAATGAACTAACTAGTTTAATTGTCCTGTCAAGTTGAAAACCTTTTTGTTTAAAACTTCTTTTAAAATCTTTTCCTAAAATGAACTAATAACCTTTACTGATTTAGTAAGAGTAATATAATGAATATAATTTATCATTTGCTATTTTTGTTGCTTGAGGGTATTAAGTGATATTGTTTCACTTTTTTTTTTTTTTTTTTTTTTTTCAGCCTGCTATTTCTTTTTAAATTTATAAATGTGATAGCTTTACAAATCTCTTGGAGGATAACATACTTAAAATTTTCTTTTGTTTTCAGCATTAATTCTGTGTTCTCTGGATATAGTTCTTTTGTTTGCTAAACACTGTGTCTCTTGCATGCTGGAGTTTTTCTTGGATGTTTGGTGACTCTTTGTGGTCTGTTCATATTATAGATGAGGATCTAATTTAAACAATGTTATTATGAAGCATTATTTCCTCTGCTCAGTTGAAACTTCCTATCTGCCCATGAATTTGTGCCCATGTCCCCTGCATCGGCAGGCGGACTCTCAACCACTGCGCCACCAGGGAAGCCCCTGTTTTGCTTTTAAGTGAAAAACAAACTAATATTTTTTTAAATTATAAATATACCCTCAAAATAACAAATTTCTTATAATAGTCAATTTCTACCAGGCACCTTCAGTGTCAACATTTATAAATTAACAGTCAAGTTTTCAGGTGACCAGGGTTGGATTTTTACTTTCCTGGGTCTTAGGCGCTTTTGTCTTCGTAGGCCCTTCCTCTGTAAGAAATATATTAAAAAAATTTTTTTCACAACCGTCAATATTTATTTTTTTATAAGTTCACATTCATAACCATTTTTCCCACTATGAAATTAACAAAAAAAAGTTAAAGATAATACTTAAAGTTGGCGAGGATGCTGTGAGGTGAACATTCTCATTCACTGATGCTATTAATTTAAAGGAGAACCAACTACCTGGAAAACAATTTGGCAAAAATGTATCAAGTGTTTAAAAGTCCTATTCCATTGGTCTCTATTATATATGCATTTATAAGCAGAGCAAAAAGACAGTCTCCCAGCCCCACCTCACCCCCAAAAAGCCAAAGTGTTAACGGTGGTTATATCTTGTGGATAATAGGTAGTTTTAAATTTGGAATTATGTATATTTTTTATTTAATTTTTTAAATTGAGGTGTAGTTGATTTATAATATTAGTTCACAACACAGTGATGCAAAATTTTTGTCGATTATACTGTTTAAAGGTATTATAAAATATTGGCTATATTCCCTGTGCTGTACAATATATCCTTGTAGCTTATTTATTTTATACATAGGAGTTTTTACCTCTTGATTCCCAGCCCTTATCTTGCCCCTCCTCCTTCCCTCTCCCTACTGGTAAACATTAGTTTGTTCTCTATATCAGGGGTCCCCAACCCCCCGGCCGTGGACCAGTACTGGTTCGTGGCCTGTTAGGAACCAGGCCTCACAGCAGGAGGTGAGCGGCAGGTGAGCGAGTGAAGCTTCATCTGCTGCTCCCCACTGCTTCCCATCACTTGGATTACCGCCTGAACCTTGCCCCTCACTTCCCCGTCCATGGAAATATTGCCATCCACGAAACAGGTCCCTAGTGCCCAAAAGGTTGGGGACCGCTGCTCTGTATCTGTGAATGTTTCTATTTTGTAATATTCATTCATTTGTTACATTTTTTAGATTCTACATATAAGTGATACAATATTTCTCTTTCATTGACTTATTTCACTAAGCATAATGCCCTCCAAGTCCATCTGTGTTGTTGCAAATGGCAAAATTTCATTATTTTTATGGCTGAGTAGTATTCCATTGTGTGTATGTGTGTACATATATATACACACACACAATGAAACACTATATATATGATATATATGTAGTATATGTATAGATGTCCATATCCATTCATCTTCTTTATCCATTCATCTGTTGAATCTGTTGATGGACACTTAGGTTGCTTCCATACTGTGGCTATTGTAGATAATGGTGCTATAAACATTGTGGTGCATGTATCTTTTTGAGTTAGTGTTTTTATTTTCTTCAGATGTACACCCAGGAGTGGAATTGCTGGATCATGTGGTAGTTTTATTTTTAGTTTCTTTGAGAAACCTCCATACTGTTTTCCATAGTGACTGCACCAATTTACATTCTCACCAATAATGTACAAAGATCACCTTTTCTCAGCATCCTTGCCAGCATTTATTTGTGATCTTTTTATGATAGCCATTCTGACTGGTATGAGGTGATATTGTGGTTTTGATTTGCATTTCTCTAAAATAGCGATTATTGAGCATGTTTTCATGTGCTTATTAGCCATCTGTATGTCATCTTTGGAAAAATGTCTATCAGGTCTTCTGCCCATTTTTTGATTGGATTGTTTTTTTGATATTGAATTGTATGAGCTGTTCATATATTTTGGATATTAACCCCTTATTGGTCATATCATTTGCATATATGTTCACCCATTCAATAGGCTGTCTTTTCATTTTATTGATGGTTTCCTTTGCTGTGCAAAAGCTTTTAAGTTTAATTAGGTCCATTTGTTTATTTTTGCTTTGGGTTCCTTTGCCTTAGCATAGATAGAACCAAAAAAATATTGCTACAATTTATATCAAAGAGTATTCTGCCTGTTTTTTCTTCCAGGTGTTTTATGGTTTCCAGTCTTACAGTTCAGTCTTTAATCCATTTTGAGGTTTTTGTTTTTTTGTTTTTTGTATATGGTATGGATAATGTTCCAATTTCATTCTTTTACATTTAGCTGTTCAGTTTTCCCAGCACCACTTATTGAAGAGACTGTCTTTTCCACATTGTATATTTTTGCATCCTTCATTGTCCATTAATTGACCATAAGTGCATGGGTTTATTTCTGGATTCTAGCCTGTTCCATTGATCTATGTGTCTCTTTTTGTGTCAGTACATACTGTTTTTGATGACTGTAGCTTTGTAGTATAGTGTGAAGACAGGGGAGCATGATACCTCCAGCTTTGTTCTTCTTTCTCAAGATTGCTTTGGCTCAAGTTAATTAATTTTAAAACTGCTTTGGTATAAAGATACAATCCAGTCTGGATTCACAATTATATATTTATTATTGTCATTATGTTAATGTTTTTCTGACTTTAGGAGGAATAATATTAAAACATTTTTCATGAGTCTATATTTTTTCCTTATTTTGAGGAATTAGGATTTACTCTCTTAACTTTCATATATAACATACAATAGTGTTAATTATATTTATCATGTTATACATCCCTAATACTTATTTATCTTATAACTGGAATTTTCATGAGCCTTTAAAAGTATCACAGGCCTAAGACACTGTTCCTCCTGTGCCTGATGGATAACAGCCCTGTAGGTGATTGCTGGATCCCTTAATGTTCATTAATGGAAATGATCACATAAAAATTATGTCTAGCTTAACTCTAAGGCAAGTGCATAAGAATCATCTGGAGAGCTTATAAAAAAGTTTCCTGGGCCCCATCTCAGGCCATCTAAT